TATTGTCTTAAGAAAGCAATAAAGGGTGTAAAAATTAGTGACATGATCACCAAATTTCATAGAAAACCAACATTAATATCAAGCCAAATCTTTTCTTACCATATTTCTTCCTCTAATCCATACACTTTGCATACATTCAATTATAAGCTTCTCTCTTCAGTCTAACCCCTACCTCCAAATCCCTCTCCAATAACAATTTATTTTACTCTATGGATTTCCTTTCAATTTGGCATTTTTACTGTGACATCTCAGTCTGTTCTTTCACGTTTCACTTGCTTTAACACAACTCCTAAATTACTTCACTTATAATCTTGTCTAATCTTGTCTAATCCAGTCACTCAAAGTATTCATAACTTCATTCTTGGTCAAATCCGGTTATCGTTAATTTGTCTTGAATTCCTGCTAAGGAAATAATATAGGTCTAGGCCAAAAAGTATCTTAAGGTCTGTGTGGTTTGCGCAGTATTACCAACGTGTGAGTGATACAATCTGGTGAGCTTTGTTAATAAAATGTAACGGTAAAAATGGTTTCAACATTAAGGTATTGTCTCATATTATGTTATATCGTGCATTAATATTATACTGTTGAAACTCGGATGACAAATCATCAAAGTTCTTCAATATCTCGGAATAGGGCGTTGTTTCGACGGTATTACAATAGATATTAGTATTTTATATTACAAACGAACCGAACACAACTCGAGTCTATACGGATTTCCGTGTAAATGAGATTTGATAAACGATAGAGGCGATAGGGAGACATAAAACCCTCCGGTGATCCCGTATGCAGCTAAGGGCGGAAGGAGCTGTGTGTAACGCGAGACTGGCTTTGGCCGGGCGCTTAGTTTTTAACGTCCCGGACGCGCTCATGCGAATGAAAACCACATTTTTCATCTACTCCGTTGAATTCGCATTGAGAAGATAAAAAACTTCACTCTTGTCTCACCGTCTTTTTATTTTTTTTTTTTAGACGACTACCGCGTTAACTACAATAATATAAGGGTTGCGGAACGCGCCTCGTTCTTATCCGTTTTTTTTTATATTATGCGTTTCCATGTCCTCTGCCAACGACCGGCCGTCGACGATGTTAATAATAGTAATAACACAATTGTATCAGTTATCACTAACAAGCACACGAGGGGCGACTGTAATGAACCAAAAGGTCTATAGGTACTTTTTTTTCATCTTGCCTTCCCGTCCTTACCGTTTGTCGAAAACTATTCACGGCCAAGGGTTATTTTTTTAGAAAATAAAATCACTGCGCGCCCTCCCGCACGGTGTTCGCAATAATAATTATATATTGCATTTCTTAAACTTAAAACTTAATATCTAAACTATATTATTATTATGATAAACGACGTCTGGGAAACGTTAGGGGTTGTTTTCTAAGTACTATAGCTGTATACATAAGTTTTCTTTTCGAATGCGGCGCCATAGTTTTGTTTCTAAGACTGCGTACAAAAACAGATTATAATAGTAAAATATTATTGTATTATAAATAATATAATTAAATATTGTATATTTACTCGAAAATAATATGCCAGCCTTTCGCAAGCACTCGGGAATTATTTTAATACTTTGGATACTTATTATGAAAAATGGTAACTCTATGAAAAATGTATTGACACATGTTTTAGCTCTACGAATGCCAAGTTGTTTGTATATTGTACATTATAGTTAATTAGTTTAATAAAAATATTCGTTTATGTCCGAAATATTGATCGCTTTCCAGTTAGACCATTTTTGATGAGTATTGGGCGATTTTTATGGACATTTTCAATGGTGGGAAAAAGTGATTGGTTTTTTATTTAAACAAACACAATCTGTACATAGTACATTTACAATAAGTTTTTTTCTTATAATTATTATGTACATGCATGGCTTGAATTAACGTGCTTGGAAGTCATCCGTTGACAATGCCTCAGTTTGTGAGTTTAAAATAATTAAGTATGAAATTGTGATTAAGTGACCATTCCAACTTTAGTGGAAGATTGAAGTGGTTTGCGAAGGGAAACGCGCATTTTTTTGGATTAGTCTTGCACGAAATTTACCATTGGCGTTTTCGAACAGACTCTTTCAATTACTCCCTTTATTTATGTCTTTTGCAAAGATATATCATGGTCTCTCTCAAACTGGCAGTTATGCACGCACATGATACTGTACTTAACTCATACAGAAGGAATAAAAAAAGAGCTTAATGTCACGCATGCTTGCAAAATAACGTATATCACGTTGCCCATCCCCTTTCCGTTTCTTATTTTCTGACTTGTTGTTCTGTATTGTTGAAGAAAATTGAGACCTTAAATTAAAAAGAAAAGTGGCAAGTATTTTATGTACACTAAAGCAAACTTATTTTATACCGTGAAGTAGTGTTAATAATTTTTTATTAAAGAGTTATTATGTTCTCTACAAACCGTTCAACATATTATGTGTATTTTGTACAACTTTTATTTCTTTAAACTAGACTATTTTTTTTCATACTTTATATGATAAAGTTAAAGTTCAAAAGGCTTACCGAAATGAAGAATATTCGTAATTAGTTCCAAATTTAAATTACTCTGTTTATAGACTGTAAGTTTCTAACATTTTCGGGGCAATGAAAGTTTTGCAATTCAATAAGTTTAAAATTTTCTGCGAACAGAGATAAAAATAACTAATTTTTATCCTCTAAGGTATTGTTGAGGTCGAAATTGAGGTTATAAGCTTTGTTATACTATTACACTGGCAGGGATCGGTAAAATGTTCTCTCTACAAATAGTTCCTATTGAAATTTAGTTTAATTTTTCGTTAATTTTACATCAGTAAAACGCATTTTGAGCGCAACCGAATCACAATAGATTATCTTTTAATATTTTGGTTATTATTTAGTGTCTTTCTCTTAGCCTAGATACTTACTAACCTAGAGGTTAGGCGGGGTTAATTATTTTGTTATCGTATACTGGCGGTAAAGCGCATTTGTTGTCTTTAAGATATGGACATATCATAATCACCACTTCACGCAAGTTGTAATTTTAACTTAACATCGCACACAACAAACGAATGTATCTTGTTCACCTTTTATATTGTTCGGAATCTCGATCATTGTGATATTACCATATTGTCCTTCTTGGGAGATGATAGAAATCGAGTGACAACATTTTTCTCGTTGCACTGTCATTATTATTCTCATTGGGGTCTCGCACATATAATGCTACTGCGGTAAGTAAAATCATATAAACTTTGTTTACGTTATGCATCAGCCGTGACCAATATGACAATGAAATGGTGCGATGGTCACACAGATAGTTAGTTGGTCTATATTATAATTGACCGTGCTGCCCTATTCAATTTTGTCTGATGGTACCTGTAACGATAATGTGATTACATTCGAATCGACCGAGCATTGTTGCAATATATTCAATACGACCTTCATTATTCTTCGGCGATATGCTGTTGCTAATAATGTATTTAATAATATGGCGCAGACAAAAATTACATTTTTAAATTTAAACTCAACTTCTCGATTTTTGCAATAAAGCGCCATAGAGTTCTCAGTTGTTGAAAAAAAAAAACATTTTAAAGAATTTGCCACTAATTTTGTTCACCGTCGTCATGCTATTTGGGGCTTAATATGAATAAGTAATTCGAGTCATCGCGTGGTCGAATCACCATGTATATTATTTTAATAATACATAATATGTATGTAGTGCAGTTCCAAAGGGGCGTCGGTCGGTAGTCTTGTAACGTTACATAATAATATCATGTCCTCTAATAATAGTTCAGAAACAAATTCCGACGTATTACGACGTGGACAACAATTAAAAGAAGTTGGGAAAAAATAAGTCCGAAACCGTCGTCGACTACTACTATACTTAAAGAGTTTCTTTTGCATGTGACCGCCATAGTAGGTGCATGCATTATAGATTTAAATTACCACGGTCGACTATCATACTGGAAACATGCTATCCTGTAATTATTAGCCTACGCTGACCCGTAGCTCATTAATACAACAACGACAACTCTGCTGGTAACCAAACATTATTAATACTATACAGTAGACTTCTTACATATTTTATCAAAAGAAAAGTTTTCAACACTTTACTTCTTCTTCTTCTCGTGTCCGGAACATTTTATTAAACTACGGCCTTGAGTATAACGGTATCGTCGGTATCCCAGGAGGTTAGCCTATTTCTCTGAACTTAATAGATCAAATATTAACGATTTACTATCGACAACGATCGAGTATAATAATAGCTTGTAATAGTCGACTTTTAAATATAATATATATGTTCCTTATGTTGTAAAAGTTTTAAAAGAGTTTTTACTTATATAGTGAATAACATAAAAACTGTCTATTTTCAACTCATACATATTTTGGTAACCTAGAACTTTTTGAAAAATAGACAAAACCCGGTTAGATGTACAGCCAAAACAAAACTTAAGCACTTTTCAACTGTTTAATATATTTTTTTTTTTTGCTATGATATTTTATATTATATTAGTATGTATATATCCTATTTACTAATGTGTTTTCCTCCGATTGTGTAGTAATTACAACTTCAATATACATAGATAATACTATACTAGTCAATAAGTGCTAAATACTTAGATTATAGTTCGAACGACAATTTATAGGTGCATCTATAATCTATATGTAATCTGTTAACAATATAAAAAACCCGTCGTAATTATCATTTGTCATAAACTACAAAATTGATTTTTTTTATTCCTAAAATCAATTCCATATTATTTAAGTTTTCAAGGCAAATTTGGCTTCCGCAATTGAACTAGTCTGATGTATATTTTGGACTTTGGTCACTGATTATCGTGTGCATACAATACAAATTTTAACATTACCAATATTTCAAAATCACCTCGACATTCAATATTGCGCTATCAAGGACAAAGTAATATCTGCTATAAAAATGTCGTATTCGAAAAATAATCGTTCAGTCGTAGGTATATTATGTACACCTTTGGTTTTTAGCTCAGAAAAAAATATACTTAAAAAAAAACCACATAATAATGCAATACAAATTTCTGTTTTTTATTTGTGTGTATATTATATACATAAGTACCATAATACATGCCGCCGACAAACAATACTTCCCAAATCTTCCAGTGGTAAGTATAATTATTTGCTGAACATAAATATTGGTAATATCATTTTTGACTACCCGTGTCTTTTGAACTTGCTGCAATATTTAAACTCTGAATTCGGTGTACAATCTGTGTTCAGGGCGAATATAAATTGAAATTCAAAGCGGCATACGTGTGCAATGCGAGTGCGGATTACAAAATCGGGTTCTATCTTCATTTAACCAAAGTGTCACCTACAAAAACAATGTTGGTGGGAAATATCACTGGAAGAATCGTGTTCGACGACTCCTTAACGGTAAATTCGCACATTTGCGTGACAAGATAAAACTATAAAAGTCTTATTTAAATGTTAGTCCACACGGGTTAAAAAATAATAAAGGCCTGTAGGACCGAATTAAACAATCCACAAGAAAGGTATCTATAAAATGTAAGCCGTTTAAAGATAAGGCTCTGTTTAGTAAATAAGATAACTTTCATAAACAAACTAACGCATTTAAAAAATATCCTGGAATTGTATACCGGGTGATAGTTTTAACGCCCTACGCTAATTTACCTACTCTTGGAAAAATTTAAATTTTGTAATGGTTCTTTTTGGAAACATTTTCATACATCGTGAAGTGCAATATAAGACAATATTAAATTAAAATTTTTTTTTTAGTATTTGTTAAGGCTTTATTAGCTTACAAAACTTAAATGGCAACGTATGTATTTAATTAGCTTATTAATATAAATTTACTGAAAAAAAATTGACTGGTCGATAACCAGTTTTGAATAATTATTGTGGACCTTTATAATAGTATAAGACATTACTTTACTGCAGTGGAAATTAAAGGTTAAATAGTTTTCTTGTACAATAATCGGTATTAGTTACATGTGAATATGGCGGTAATGGATAAAATCGGAGGATGGAAAGACAACGCATATATTTTTAGTAAGGATAAAGCTTGTTCTACGCTGAAGTACTTTTTGGGAAAACAGTGGCCTGTGCTCATGGACAGTTTAAACATGAACGACCATAATTGTCCAATAAAAATAGTAGGTGTTTCAATATTGTTAATACGATACTAGTTGTAATATGTTTGGTTAGGTTGGGTTTAAAGTATACAAAGTATTTACTTGTTAAACATATTTATCTTCTTCGTGATAACCGCTGTTCCTCGCATTATCCTAAACAAATTAAGTGGACCAGTCGAATCCTCTCTCTCACAACAAATTTAAATTGTCAACGTTTTTTTTGTTCTCTACTATAATTGTCCGTGTCTTATTATAACTTCCACAACACATCCGTTTCTTCTTTCGCCTACCCGCACCTCTAAATTCCTTATCCTCTTTCTCAAATGCCTTCTTTTGAATTCTAAGCCCTTCAATTTCTCAACTCTACTTTACAATTCCTCTCAGAGTTCGACTGGCTCTTCATAACTCTTTCCAATAACTTGCTAAAATGCATGTTACTAAACTTTGTTAAGATAAATAGTTAATTAGTCAACATTAAAACATTGATATATTTTTTTCCAGAGAACGGATCCAATGAAAGGGTTTGATTTAACTCTCATCGAAGACAGTAATTTTCCTAAACAATTTTTTTACGGTACTTATAAATTTAAATTGTCATACGTTGATGTGAAAAATCAACTGGTCGGTTGTGTGGTTTTCGTTGTGGAAATAATAAGACCGTGGGAGGTCCAATATCGTTTCCAATAATAGTTGTTTAGTTTTATTATTTATAAGTATTATTGATTATTATTTTAATATAACATTGTTATTGTAATTTGCATTTTCGTTTAAATATATTCATAGATTATGAAAACTTTTAAATATGGTATTCATTGTTAAGCTTAGTCATTTTGAAGTACAAATTAGGAAATTTTAAAAAGTAATAAAATTTTTCTTTTACATGCACATCATTTATTATTAATTTGACTATCCAAGTTTTCTATCATAAACATAAAATCAATTTTTTATTATTTATGGTTTAATTTTACTTGGATTCAGATATAAAAACACTTGCACCTTTTAAAAAGTAATTGGATGTTAATTTGCGTTCGGAAGTTAAACATTAAAAACCTTTTGTTCGAGAAGTTTTTTGTTTGTAAAATTTCAATATAAAGTACAACCCCTAAACTAGTTTTAGATATACAAGTTAGACAATTGCTGACTTAACTAGAGCTACCCTAAATAGTATTAATATTGTTCTTTCAAAACTTGTGTTGTGTTCGTAATAATGTTCACCAGACTAATCGAATAGGATTTTAGATTAAAATATTTTTATTTTCTGGTGTTTGTTTTTAATGGTACACAATTCTCAGCAACAACAGAGGTTGGATAACATCCTAATATAATGCTTGTTATTATTTCTGTTGAGTTTTCGGCGTCATATTTTATTTCAGTATAGTTCCATTTCTGTTTTCGATCAAATAGAAATATCGCGTACCGCGCGAGAATGATTAATGTTTCCCTAAGTAACCTAATGCAATATTTTTGTTAGGGATGATTGATACCGCACGACAGTTATGGGAACGGTATCCCAGCGGTGTGCCATGGCATATGTACCTCCTATATACCCATTAGAAATCCCTAAAACCAACGCACCGCTTAACATCGCCCGAGGGATTTCGGTACATTGGAATATTTATCTTTGGCACGATTTCACCCGTGTGTGTCGTCGGCTCTTTTGTATAAATATTACATAAGTGTGGAAAGATAAAAAAACAAATGAGACAACTGAAAATCAAATTACAACAAAACCGCGCAATTTTCGGATTGTCATTAGACAAAAACAAAATTCAGTATGCCACATGTTTAATATTATCTCGTTATCACCGTCTTCCGATAGATAACCATCATTACGATTCAACTCCACTCGCCGAAGTGACACAACTGACAACGATAGCGACCTTTGCCGTCACACGGTCCCGGCTGACATAAAGGTCGGCGTTTGTATGTAACCTATGCCGCCGATTTTCCGCAAAGACCGCCCTTTGTTCGCCAGCTTTGGTACGCTTTATACATTTGAAATTAAATTGTCTAAACATTGTGTTTTGGAGCAACTTTTGCGATTACAGCGGTGCAAGCCCGGCTTTGTAATATTATGTGGCGCGACGTTACAATGTCGGAAAAAGCACAATAATTCGCCCAACGGTTCCATTTTATGATGGTGTGTACAATGAATGACGACAAGAGAGATTTCATCAGCAAGAGATACTAAACGTATCCCACCCTATTTGGCTTTAAAGACTCCACCGGTGACACGCCCCCATCCCCGACAAGAAGGTAACCTCATCCGGTTTAGTGAAAACAAAAATCAGGTTTTTCCAGATTTTTTGGGAAAACAATTTGTTTTTTTTTTGCATTGCTAAAATTTCAATAATTCCATTCAGTTTTTAGATTTCAACTTTATTAAAGTTAAATAATAAAATAACTGTTTGAAATACAAGTTAAAAACGTAAGTCAGTGTAATCCATCTGATGCAAGACACTCATTTTCTAGGTAAATATGAATATTTTGAAAACAATTTGTTCCTATACTTTTGACACTAATTGTAATGGGGAATATTTAGAGAGTCGAAGGAACAAAAAAAGATAATTTCGAAAAGTTAATCAAGGATAACCGAGGAACAGTCAATTAATTTAATACGACCGATGTCACGAATGACGGGGTCGACGTGCAAAGAGGAGAGTCGTTCTAAAATAGTTAAAAAGAATGATAAGGAAATATGGGATGACGAAGGTGAAGACGAGAAAAAAAACAAATTCGTTGTCTGGAAAAAGTGGACTGTTATTATTCATCTTTTAATTAATCACGGTCATTTTTAACACTACACCATATAATAATAACAGCTGACTTGCCCTTTCGTGCCGCTTTTTCATAACTATTTTGCCCAAGAGATATACTTTTATATAATATAGTGAAAACATATTTTTTGAAGTAAGCAACTTCAAACTGTCTTTCAAATGAAACGATATCTCATGCGGTATATTTGTCCGTGTACCGTGAATACCAATAAGTATAATATAATAATATACACACGTGTGGTTTAAACGCAACCGTGTTATGAACAAAAAAGCAAAATATACACAAAGCCGTACTTGGTCGTGGAAAAAGTTAATTCGACACGTTTTCTTCGATGGCAAACTTTGGTAAACAAATTTTGTTCACGTCTATCTAGTGTTGTACCGAGCCTGTGCATGATATGCATAGCTATACTGTTTATTTGCAAATTTAAATTTATCACCATTCGTCAAAAAATCGTTTTGTGTACTTATCTTGTATGCATATTGTAATACAGCTCGACAAACTCATATCCGTTTTTGTATGAATTTGTGACTTCAGAAATCGTACCTAAAAGTTACCTTTAAATAAGGGTACTTTATTGGGCCGAAAACCACAATAGTTTATCCTTTCCCTTTCGAAATCCAGAAAAACACCCAAAAAATGTACACATTTTTCAACTTAAATTTACGGCGCTCTGTAACTCCTTTAAAAATTGTCGAATTGGTTTTTATGGAATATTCTTCAGACGTGATAATATTATTATAAACAATTAGTCTGATGTTATCACTTTGTAATAATTCCTGTAGACATATTGTGATTTCCTACCACCCTCTTGTGCACCGACCCTCCACTGTGCTGATTAATTTTTTTATTGCAAGGACAAAATAATTATACATATCGGTGGCGTAAGAAAACTTATATTGGTTAAAATTGCTCGTGAGGAGATAATAGAATAAAATTATAGTTATTATCAACTATATTAATGACGTTTAAAATGAGTGTTTTCCGCATAATAACTGCGTGAATATTTATTTGGGCGTACGGTAAGCTTGTAATGTCATATTTTGTAATAGTTAACGTTTTGTAAAATGTGTTATTCGATTAATTATAATTTCCATTGCCTGAGTACTACCCTTGCCGCCTACCTACCCGCGGTTGTTTTACCCGCTTGGGAATTATGTAAATCGCCAATGAAAACCGCATTCGTGACGGACGGAAACCTAATAACACGGAACGCGCCGGGACACGTTTTAAATCAGTTGGGGAAAAAAATTTGAATAAAAAAAAAAAATTCTAATACACGCGAACGTTTAACATGCGAACGAATGGATTTGGCGAAAAAAAAATTCAAATACAAAACCCGAATACATTAACGTGTAGTAATTGCTATAGACGGCGGCGGTGGCCAGATTTAAGTAGTTTATAATAATTTGTGTGGTTCCCTAAAGGCATGTCGGTACGAAGAAGAAGTGGTGGGGGACGGAGGGGTAGATTATTTACGAATAAGTGACAGGTTTCGGAACAGCTAAAATTAAACGTCACCGCTTTAACGAATGAAAATTTCGCATGTCAGCTTTCAAAAATGACACTGCTCTTCTTCCTAATGTATGTACATAAATATTACATAATGCATAGTGTATAATCTGTAAATATATTTTATATTATGTATATATTTTATTTGGAAACTTCCCCTTTTGTTCTATTCGTGTAATACATAAATACAATATTTATTTTTATCAAAAAGTATAAATATACGGTTAAGTATAAGCAAAATTAAAATCATCGAAACTCTGAATCACATTAGTGTTTTACCGAACAAATTCAAGATTGTTGTTTTAATTAATCTCTTCTGGCCTGAATATAAACGCATAAGTTTTTTTTTATATCAAAAAATTTGAATTGGAAAAATTAGTTTTAATAAATAAGAGTCTTATTTATTATAATACATAGCTGGTCTTAGAGAAAAATGCCAAACGAACATGTTTTAATATTAGTTGCACTGTTCAATCTTCGTGACAACGGAACAAATATTGTCAATTGTAATGGATAAGGATAAAAAAAAAGTTAACTATAATATGGAATACTAAAATAAACTTTGTAGGCTGAGAAAAGTTGGTTATTAAAACTGTTAAATAAATGTTTTCATACTGAACTCGAAAAAAACAATTTTAACAATTTTAAAACGAAATAAATGTTTTTATGTAGTTTGGACTTAAGATCATGATAGTTCAAGAATATTCAAAATGAGGTATTAATTATTACCGTTAAAATAAAATTTAAGTTTCTACAATAAGTCACGACAAAGCCTTTATTTAGTTTTTAGAATTGTGGTATAGGCAACTGTACTATCATATTGTAGACTAAACATAACTAACTTTATGATGGTATCGACTAACAATGGCAGCATACTAATCATTAGTCGGTTTAGCCAACCCCATAGTCATAAGTTATAACAATATTATTATATTTTATCACGATGGTATTGCCGTAGCAGCCGGAAGACAAGGACAGTAAGAGATTACAAAGTACCGGAAGGGGCCTTTTTTTCAAATTCAAAAGACACACGTGCTTTTAATATATGTCAAAAATGCCATTGCAGTGTGTTTACGTGACGTTTCGCCGATGTAGTCCATTAGAAAAACTTTTGATCCCGACCCGTCACGAATAAACCCTGTAATTTGACACATTTTTTCCAATTAGAACTACAATCGCCTTCACGTCACGACCGCAATAATTGGCTTAAGCAGTTGTTTCACAATATAAATTAAACGATTGCGTTCATTTTAGTGATAATTATGTGCATAAGTTCGTCCTCAACGACCGAACCGCAAGAAAGTATTAATGTGCTATTTTAATAGAGTTAGTAAAAATTATCACTCAAATATTGTCATAAATAGTAAGAAATGTCTACGTAGTACTCGAGCAACAGT